GCACGCTATTTCATGCCTTGAAAATTTGTACAGAACTTCAAAGAGGGGACTGAGACCTACCCTAAGCTAGAAAAATCGTTTTAAATTTCCATTCAGTACTACCATGACTTTTATACTTTTGAAATAATCTGTAGGTTACTAGACTGACTGCCATGAAGCGTCCATATTTTTTCCAGCCATTTTAACCTCTTATCCAGTTTAGGGTCATGGGGGCAGGTGGGTGAGTGGGTTAGAGGTCATCAAAGATAGCCCTTTCAAGTGTTAGTAACGTGTCAGTTTAGAGAATGGTGGTTTTCATTTTGGCAGTTGTTGTTTTTTAATGACCCAAATTAGTTTGTAGGATTTTTAACCACAGTTGAGGTGGCTGCTGGATGCGTTCTCCACTAACTCTGTTGGTTAATCTTATGATCGATTTTGTTGTTGTTGTTGTTGTTGTTTTTTTGCTTTTGAAGGAGCCGGGGGTGGCAGAAAACACTTGAAAGCAACTGGCTTTGAGGGCAAATCCTACTAAAACTGGCTCCCTTGACTCCCCTGACTTTTCATTTGGTGTAACACAATTGACATTTTAATCAGCCCCAGATGTACATTGTGCTAATTAGCGAACGCTAGTGAACATTATAGTCAAGCTCACTATAATACCACTAATCTGCCCTCAAAGCTGGAGTAGATACAGTGCATACAACAGAGCAACTAGAGTGGAGTCTAAAGAGTGGAGTCAAACAAACCTTTTTCACTGATGAGAACAGCCAGGGATAATTTGCTTTCTGATCCGCATCTCCATTTTTGCCACTGTGAATTGGTCCCGGGACCTTAAAGACTTCGCTCAAAGCCTCCGTTTGCTTCACAAAGTCTGCACACAAACAGCAGAAAGAAAATCTTTGAATTGGCCTGTTCAAGTTAATGTAGTCACCAACACCCAGTGAGGACTGCCCCTCTACAGCATGAATGGTCATCCAGGAATCGCAGGAGAATTATTTCATAGATACGGTACTAATTGTGGAGAGATTTGCGAACACGACAAATTGGACAAGGTGCAGTTTATGAATAAACATGGAGGTGATTTGTATTCATCAGCATGACTTCTCAAGTCATGAGTGTTTCTTTAAACAATGGTGACCCTGCTTCTTATTATGTAAATGATAAAAACCTCATTTGAATGTATGTATTTCACTGAAGCATTATAATGTGTTCCCTGGGAGCACATCATTGACTTTTGACTTTAAAATTACTTGCAAAGCTGAAAGGAACAACTTGACTATTTGTTGTTTATGCATTTATTTTTCTGAGTTCAAACACTGGTCTGATGAAACTGATGTGCACTAGTAATCTTATTAAAATCCGATTGCTGTGGCTCTGCTCTAGATGCTTGAATGCAAAACTGCACGTAGTGCAGGATATCTCTAAATCTTGTTCCACGTCTGGCTAGTAACCTGGACTGCCCTCTCCAACAAGTTTTACATTTAAAACATTTAAATTCATAAGAAAAAGCCCAAAAGCATCCTTTTGCCGCACCTGAAAACGGTGGCCTCTTCCTGTGATCATCGTCCCAGCACTGCTTCATGATGCTGATCATCTGTTCACACTCAGGGGGCCTCTGATCGGGTATCATAGTCACACAGGGCCTCTTCCCCTGCGACACCTGTAAGAGCACTGTGGTCACACTGCAACCTGCATCCAGATTTAGATGTAGATGAGCACATGCAGTAAGCAGTGAATGGAGCAAAGTGAACCTACTTGTTTGATGGCTTTTTTCAAAGTGTGTGTAGGGCACTGAGCCAAAGTATTCATTTGGGAGAGTGTAATTTTCTTCTTCTACAAATGATTCCTCTGATTATCCCTCTAATGTTTAAGTTCTCACATAAAAATAGCCACACTTTTAACCTCAAAATCCGATTATTTTTCTCTAAAACATTGTGGTTATGAATCCTTAGTGGCTTATTATCAATGTGGTATTGGTCTAGACATACCAAATGAATCATTGTGCTTTTAACGTGTTTGTGGGTTTGTGCGTCATTACCATACTAAGCTTGCAGACAGTTACTGTCGATATGCCAAGTTAAGATAACAACCTCTTGGCTTTGACTTTACTTTGAAAGCAGTATAAAGTTGATCTAATTCTGTAGGAAGACATCTGGCTTTTCTAACTCGTCTGACTTGCCACTTCAAAATCTTCACAGACAATTGTTTTCTCAGAAAGAAATGTCTAATAATGGAATCATGAGTACTAATTAAGCCAGTTTACCCTAAAGCACATTTTGGTGACATGTTTTAAAGCTTCTGCGAGTTTTGTTTCATATGTTTCACAATGTTATTCACATCATTTAAGAACTATTTCTAAAAACACGGAAATGAAATCCCTTCATGTTTATGCAGTGTTACATAATTCCTTTCTAAAGAAACGCCTATTAATCATGGAATGAAGATGGGATTCATTTCAAATGAATAATTTCCTACCTGCATACGGTTTCTGTTGTGTCAGAATTTCCCACATCACAATTCCAAAGCTGCAAATCAAAGCAGAAGGAAGCACTTCAGTCCTGGCGTTCTCATTCTGGCATACTGTGTATTCATTGAACTTTGTGGATGTCCTCCTCACACATAAAAGGCATTGAAAGCTCTTTTTTGTTCAATGAAAAGCTTTTCAGCAATGAAAAATAAATAAATAAAAGTGCAAAAACGAGTGAGTGATATACATCTAATATGTCCCTCTGACTTCTGAAAGATTAAAGTATATATATTGTACAGCAAGGTTACACTGTGTGAAGTGTGAACTGTGCGCTGAATCAGAAAAAAAGCTGTGATTCTGATGGTGCAATTTCAAAAACACCCTTGGCAAGTCACCTGTAAACATCAAAGGTAGTTCCTGGAGGATCGGGGGAGTGAGTGAAGGTCTCTGGAGGAATGTAACTTATGTTCCCTCTAGCAGCCAGACGCTCCATGAACAAGGTCTTGTTCATGCCCTCCTCCCAGTGGATTAAACCAAAATCTGAAATCTTAGTGAAAAAAAACCACACATACACACACACAGACACACACAAAACAAGAATAAGACAATGTTATCGAATTATCATAGAGCGCTCTGCAGAGCTCAGAATAAGCCAGGAGTTCATTTTAAGTTTCCAGAAGTTTACTGACCTTGATGTGGAGATGATCGTCCACAAGGATATTGGAAGTCTTTAGGTTAAGATGGAGTAGTGGAGGTTTCATGCTGTGAAGGAAATTCATGCCCAAGGAGGTCTCATGAATCATCTGAAACTTCTTCGGCCACATCAAACTGTGACTGGCTAGAAGATTGTTCAGGGACCCATTACTCATGTACTCCATCACAAGTGCAGTCACTTCACTGCACATGCCATATATGGGAATTATGTACTTGAATTTCAATTTGGCTATGCTGGACACCTCCTCTATTATTTTCCTGGAATAGAAAAAAAAAGGCTGTGATTTTATTTGAATTTTGAACTTTGACCACTGGAAATGTTTTCTGTGAAAAACATCAAAAGTAGATGTGGTGAGAGCGATGGATACAATGAATCCAATAGTTTTTGTACAATTCAAGATGAAGTCCGAGTCCAATAAGCATTACCAAATGTTAGTTTAATCTTGAATTTGTTCCAGTTCACTGATATTTGCCTTGGGCAATATACTGTTTACCTTTTTTAGAATAGGTAGTGATGAATCTCTTGGCTTAAGCCATGTTAATTCTGTAGTTGGTTAATGTTTAACTAATACATATTCACCAATCAGTTGTCATGTCTGGTTCAGAGGAGCAGAAATGTGTGTGATTAATCATAGCTGTGTTGTAACAAGTCCACGTGGTGTTTCGCATTGCATTGTTCTGTACAGCCGTTACACTCCTACTGCCAAGTCTAAGTGCTCCCTGTTGCCTGTGATGGTGTTAATTTAGGCCTTCAGAGAGTGCGTGGTGCTATAATATAGTGGGGTGGGATTCGTTGAAAGCTTTGTCATATTACAATAAGATATCCTGGTATCACAAATGCTAATTAAACGATAAGCTGTGGGCCTTTCCTTTCTATAGACCCAATATTCTTCAAAGTATTCTAACAATTATAACTTAGTTCCCACCTGTAAAAGTTGTTTCCACACAAGGTTGTGTCAAACATTTTCAACGCACAGTTTTCCCGCCAGAGCTTGACCTTGACCTGGTACACCTCACCAGATTTGCATTTAGCCACCTTGATCCAGTCAGCCTCAAAATCATCCTTCTGGAAGTTCCTGAACTGCCCAGGAGCTCGGTCAAGGCGATCCATGAGTGCAAAGCTCCTCTCTCACACAACCCCTCAAAACAATCTCAGTCTCTAATCCTTCACATCAACAGGGTTTATCTTCCAGATCAACATTGATGAGCAGCACCGCAGGAGCTTGTGTCTCACACGGGGAGAGAAAAAGCCCAAGAACACAGACACACTTTAAAATAAGTGGAGCTAGCTGTGTGGAAGTTACGAGGAGTGACATCCAAACTAAACTACACTCCAGATCTGTGGGCGGAGCGGAGCTGAGTTGTAGAACTTGTTTGCTCTGCAATGCTGCAAAGCTGGTTTTTAGCAGCCGAGACTGCTGTCATTGCTTTCGGTCAATAGTGAAAGAAATTTTTCTTTCTCCTCTGATGCCAAGTTGCGATAATTTTTACATGCCAGTGCACTCATGTTATACCATTCTGTTTAGTGTGTCTGTCAAAACACTAAAACCACCAGAAGTAAGGTGAATGAGACTGAACACATCACTGCAGTGGTCTGCTGGGGGACCTGCGGGTCAAAGAGGTGGTTTTATTATTATGGCTGATCACAGTAACCTTACTGGCTCATGATCCATTCACTTCAACAAGGCACACCACTGACACATATAGTTGAATGGCTCAGTTGCAATCTGAGTTGAAGGATATGCCCATTATTAACACACACACACACACACACACACACACACACACACACAAAGCTTTCACATTCTGCTTGCTTGTGCTTTTATTTAGAGTTCACTCTCCTGCACTGGTGTTCTTATGCCTGTGTGCCTGTGTGTCAGGTTGCTCAGACATCCAAGGCGTCTGCAGGTCCCAGTCCACTGTTGCATAAGAGACACTGATTAGACGATATTCAACAGCTCTGTCACTCAGCCTGAATCTCACGCTCCACCTCTTCTCCTAAAATCTGAGCCAAAACCACACCTGAGTACTACAATCAGTTTTTAAGATCAATAACCCATCAGAACCCCCTACAGTAATGTAATCTGGTGGCTCTGCTTTGCCTTGGGAATGGTTTGACTCAATTTTTCCCCTTAGCAGGGAGGTTCAATGCAACTGCAACTCAGACAAGGTTGATGGGAGTGTTCTCTTCAAATTGATGATGCCTCCATCCATATGATGTACGGCATTGATTGAATAGCTGCGATAGCTATGAAAATTTTGTCGTCATAGACATACTAGACAGTGCTCTGTACTGCCACCATAAAAAGACTAATTGAGGGAATGTGTTTTCAAAAAATGTTATTCATTGTTCCTGCAGAGCTCCAAAGATTTGAACAATCATTTTGACACACACTGACCCTGGAGCTGTTTCGGCAGCATGTGGTAGCCCAGCACCTGGAAAATCTCATCTAACTCATCTAGTAGGCGACGTTTTGTCACAAAGCTCTACTCTCTTTTTTTAAAGCTTATTCTTTGTTCAGGCACTTACTTTTTAGTTATTCATTTGTTTTTTAATGTGTTGGGCACTGAACTGCACGCCAGCTGGTTTCTCTGAGATTAGATGTGAAATCAAAGACGGTGTGCAAACACATTAGCAAACACCTTGTCTTTGTATGAACTTCAAGTAGAGGACACAAAGTGACTGTCAAAATAAGAAATGATATAAAAAGTTTGAAAACAGTCATAGTCATAAGAATATGATGTGTTTCTCATTTAAAGTTCAAAATTACCTGAAACTGTGTGGAAAATTGACTGAATAACTTTAGAAATCTTTGAGCATTCATTATGTGTAAGCATCCACTACCACAAAACAATCAAGATCATCGTTTTACCTACACCTTACCCTCAGCCTAGCTGGTTTTCCTGCCACAGTTTAAGACACAGAGATGCAGAGAAAATGAAATAAGAAAAGACTTTGACCTGGTAGAGTCTTATTGTTTTCTGCATACAAGAAGAAGGACATCATTTCAATTACATTGTGCCTCTATCTTCGTTAAGGCTGGAACGAGGCACAGCATTGCTTCATTCTATGGAGCTGGTCATAGAGTTAATTTAGCATATTCCAAATGTATCAATAATCCTTAATAATGAATTGTAAATTTAGCAGCATGTGATAATAGTGCACAGGCACTATTATCTGTGAACCCATTTCCTCTCCCAATCTTTCACAACATTTATCGTGAAGGATTGGGAGCCTTACATTTTCTAATTATGTATTTCCATCTTTCTGCATCATTAAAGCGGGCTGTTCCTTAAGAGAAAAGATTAAACTGCCCGGCTTATGCAAAAGGATTACGGTAATAGAAAGCTCATTCAGGAAGATGAGAAAACAAAGACGTCCTCTACCTTCTCTTCTATTCCCACCTGCTGTTCTGGTTTATAGGCTCATTCAGTTATACTCCACCACCATTCAACCCCCTTTAGAGCTAAATTTATCTTGGGACATGAGGTTTTGTTGCAGTGTTAACGATAGTGATGAACTCCCACATACATTTATAGACACACACACACATATATAAATGATTCCTGTGGGTCCCTGGTAGCTTTGGTACTCATTTGGGCCGTCTCCCTTGGGTTTCTTGATTCCCATATAGCAAATTTAGAATAAATATGGTTCCCTTGAGAGCAAAAGTCCAGCAAAAATTCCCAGTTGTCTGCAACTCTCTCTGTGAAGTCTATCTCTTATTGTGTGTGTTTTTGTCTTACTTTTTACACAACACATATAAATGTGATTCATCAGGTTCTCTACGCATAATGCACATCTTATGAGAGACCAACCACAGCCCAGCATTCTGCTGTCATTTCATCCTCTGAGCTAGCTTTTTGTTCAGGCTTTCATTTGTGAGACATGGTTAGAATTTTTTGGTTAATAATTCTACTTCTAAAGGATTTTCCCTTCCCGGCTTCTTTTAAAAGTGTCGGCTCTCCCTGCAGGGATGCAGAGCGCATGTGGAACACATCTACAGGGTCACATTCATTTAGACATGTCCTATTGATTATATGTTTATTTTGCAAAGCCCAAAATGGGATAATCTCTAACTATATTATTGTGAGGCTTTACAAGATTATAGATTCATTATTTCTGCAGAGCACTATCAAAGGGCATTGTGGTGAGCTGTGAATGCCGTTGCACTCATATATAGGAAGACATGAGCAGAATTAATAGTTTAATGATATGAAAGATCTTCACTTAATACAAGGTCACATTTGTTTTATTTTGACAGCATATCTTCTTCCACAAAGACCAGAAAGGCTGTTTTCATCACAGGCATAAAATATGCCCTGCTTAGATATATTTTTTTTATTCTGCAGATGGCAAAAGTGTCAACCCCTCAACTCAAGTCCTAACTACCCAATCACTTTCATTCATCCTACAGAGACGGGTGCAATAATAAATGAATTTAACATTCACTGACAGCCACAGCGTCATGCCTCACTAACTAGCACTATTATTTAGGAGAGACTCATGGATTGATGTTCTAGTGTAAAGCAGGCATCCGTGATAAGATTTCAGATCGGCTACCTGAGGGTGGAAGTCTGTCTTCATTGATGGAACCCACATCTTTAGCTCAGCCAATGGCATTAGCAAGCTTCACCACACCCGGTAAGCTGACTGGTTAGAGCTAAAGGGTTTTCGTCCTCTAATGGCTAACAAGCTTAACTCCAGCATTTCTTATTAATATTCTGTGAACACAGACGCCACCACTGGACTAGAACATTGCTGGGCCTCTCAAGAGCATCATTTTTTACTCATTATTTATTTCTACAGAATAATAAATATTGTCACAATGTTAAAAAAAAAAAAAAAAGGAATAATATAATGGTTACCAAAAAAAGAGTCAGACTGAAAAACTGTGAAATAATTATTTATCCTTTGTGTAGTGGTTCAAAATCTGAGGGTGCAGTAATTTAGTAGTGTTTCAAATTTAAATCCCATTTAATATAAAGCAGGGTCTGTTTCGATTTGCCTAGATCAGCCAAAGTCAAGAGTCATTCTGCACACTGTGCTGTGGCCTACTTAACACCTGAGAAAATCCCATGGAGCTCACCTAAAAAAAAGAAAGTGATGTATATTTTGGAAAATTGTATTCAAAAAACATGAATAACACAGGCTGTTGGCTATGTTTTTCGTAATGCTACCCAGTCATATTCAAAGTGACCCACCTGACCCTAACATCCATTTAAAAGCAGCACATTCTGGTCAGGTTAATATCACAAACTGACCATCTCCTAATACCAGTTTTAATTCACTTTTTACATTAATAAATAAATGTTTATACACCTCTAACTCTACACATGTGAGTAATTTCAAACTGAATTACTGTGGCTTACCTGCAGTAACTTCACCAGCAGTGCCCACCCCACACTGTGGGAATCACTGGCCTAGGCACACGCAAAGTAACATATAATTTACTTATTGTTTGGACTTTGATTTAAAGGTATATTATGTAAATTCTGATACCATTAGTTAAAAACATGTCTGCTAGTGCATGAAAGTGGGAGCACAGGAGTTGTTGTCTTCGCCAATGTGTCATATTTTGGCTTAAAATGGACTCAAGGAGCAGGCTGGTTAATATTTAGGGGCAGCTGGTAATTGGCTGGGGAGGATGGTTTATCAGGGACGCGACCAGGAGCCCTGCCAGAAGAAGAGAGAAAGTGTTAACAGCAGCCAAGATCAATTGAACAAGACATTGCAGACTTGTTTAATTAAGTTCCACTATCTTCTTTTTGGTCTTATGAATAAAGTTTCCAGAGATGTTCACGGCTGGTTGGCCAAAATCCAAATCAGACCAGGGGTGCAGGGAATGGTGTTCAGGCAGGTGGAAAGCAGGTAAATCCATTCCTATCCAAGGAAAGGAAGTGACTGATTGAAGCAGGCGAGAGTAGCTGGAGGTGTTTGAAATATTCTTCAGGTAGGTTGCGATTCAGATTTATAGGACAGGCTCCAGAAAGGAGATGACAAAACTGGGTTGTGAAGGAAAAAGCACAAACACTAAATGTAGCAGGGAGGGACTTATTATAATTATGATCATCATCATCATCAATCAATCACCGGCCAGGATTTGAAGACCAGCTCTAGCCTCCACTCTTCGCCAGATGGTCTGCTACCTCATGGTGGGAAATCAGCTCATATAATATTGCTTAATGTTCATGTTCCTCCTCATGTTATTTTAACATGATTTTCTCCCTGCATCTTCAGTATCCACGCTCTAGGTTCAATACTCACCTGTCTCTCACCATGTCTTCCAGTGCTGGTCAACTCAGTCTTCATGTTTCTTACTTGTCTGCTCTCCTGCCTGCAACAATCCTCCGGACACTGAAAAGGGAAAAAGGTTGTACATCTTGGCTACTCACTCCTTGACTCTCTCGGACACTCACCTAGCTGCCTCCCCTGTTTCATGTGCGTCACACATGAAACAGATATTCCCATTAACTTTTACACTGAATCCGTCAAATCAGATCTTCATAGATTAGAATTAGAAATTTATATTTTGTCCACAAATAGTGGCATAGTTGCAACATGACATAGGTCATGTCATGGTCACAGGGAGATTACCATCGTATTTTTCCTGAAGTCTGACTGACATATTTAGCAGCAGTGAGGGCTTCCATTAATGCCAGGAAATCCAGACATCAGATAAAATGTCATCCAAGACACTGTGTTCTGGGCACCTTGCAATGTTTATGAATACAAGTTAGAGAAATTTTCGATTTCTATAACTATGAAGTCTGAGTTTATACTTTTAACAGCAACACTGAGAATGTTAATAGATAGAAATACAAAATAAAAGTGCACAGTTTTAGATTCTCCTATAAACCAGCGGTCCCCAACCCCCGGGCCTCGTACTGGTACTGGTCCGTGAGTCGTTTGGTACCGGGCCGCGAGAGTTGAGGCTCAGGTGTGAAATGTATGGTTTTCAGGGTTTTATCGGTTTTCAGCGTTATTTTGTTATCGGGTCTTTTCACGCGTGTTATAAATAAATCTTTTTGTCAGTACCGGTACTGGTTTTATTTTGTTGTATTTATCCGTGACACCTTAAAGGCCGGTCCGTGAAAATATTGTCGGGCATAAACCGGTCCGTGGCGCAAAAAAGGTTGGAGACCGCTGCTATAAACCATTCACAGCATAACACAAGGTCACTGAAACAGTTGTGCAATGAATTAAAAGGATAAACCCCACTTTCTTCCTTTTGTCCAGTGACTATGTGAAACGTGTGTGACTATTACAGAAAATCACCGATGCAAAACCTGAACTCTGATTTCCGATAGTCGCAGAGGGAGGGAGTCTTGAACACCTTGAGCTGAACTCTATGCTGATGGAATCTTATCATTCAAATACTGCCCCTGAATTTCGTGTCTGTTTTTGCTCCCACTAAAAACCCTGAAGGTCATCATCCTTCATTGGAAGTCAGTGTTGAACTCCCTGCACAGCAGTGCACCTACATTCAAAATGAGGAAAGAGAAAGAAACAGCGCTAACAATGTTCCCCAAAAAAACTTTACTGGTGCACATAAAATGGATCAAGGAATATTATGTTAGGAATACTGCTAGAAAGGCTTTTCTGATTTGTATTTTGCTTCATTGTACTTATTAAGGATTCAGATTAGAGATTGAGATCAGGAAAAAATTCTTCTTTAGACACAGATTAAAAGTAAATCAGCACTGATACATATTCTGATATTTTTTTCCCACTATTTCATATTATTAGCCACATCATATTACAGTGTATAGATACAGAAGCAATATTTCAGGGCTGTTGTATGTTCTCTTGCAATAATAAATGAGCTTCTACCACAAAGACTCGATATAGGTAACAAGACACAAATGCATACATTATCGTGTATGAAACAGTTATTCACAAGCCATTATTCTCAAAGTGGGAAACAAAGCATGCTGATTTCTTGCCCCTGGGGATAAAACAAAGGGCTTAAGGTGTTTTTTTTTTATTTGTGAATGATAATCGACTGCTCATGGTTAAGTACAAAATTAGACTGCAACAGCTGTGTCACCTGCGAAAGGCGGTGTGAATTGGATTGCTCCTCATTGTGTAGTCTAGCCTATACCAGCCGATGCAGCTGGCCGCCTCTGCTCTGTGGTTAATATGATTGACTGCTCCACTGTCTGTTGACTAATGCAATTGTCTGCAGCTATTTTGGTAAAGACTTGATCAGTGTAAAAGGCGACGGTCCCTCCTTGGTCATGGAAGGATCAAGTCACCTCCTGGGTGAAGACAGCCGCAGCAGGCTCGTGGCGGAGCCGCCGAGCGGAGCAGCCAGTCACCCCGTTTACGGTAGGCCAGCCACACCAGCAGCAGCATCACTGTGACAAGCGAGGAGCCAACCACCAGGCTGACTATGACCAGAGCCAAGTCCAGTTCTGATGGTTCTGATAAAAACACAAACAAACAGACCGTAAAAGTCACAGCCATGACTTGTTTTTGCAGTGTTCCCTAATCTCTTTTACTTTCATCGTGTAGCTTTATATGACGCACTCATGAGGAGAATATCTAATTTCCTGTCACATCATCTGCCGTGCATGCTCTGTTATCTCAGATCATCATTTTTGTGTAAGGACCAGCTAATAATTACCTATCTCCTCTGGAAAGGTAGAGTTCTTCACTTGTTTCAACATGGGTCCAAAGGATATGCGATTTTTCAGATTGGTGGCAAAAGTTTGCGAGCCCTCTGAGGGAAGTGCACGCCTCTTCTGAAGGCACTGCTACAAAAAGACGAGGAGATATAAAACAATTAAGTTTGGAAAATGGTGAAATAGCTAACAGGTTATTATCTGTTTGGGTGATGGATGGTTGTTCTTTCTGTCTGTGATGATAAACAGAAAGAAATGTGCACGAAACCAACACAAACAAATCACTCCTCTGATAAATATTTTGGAAAAACCTGATTTCTTTCCTGCCAGTTTTTTTTTTAGTTGAATAAAAAGAGCATGAGCAGAAGTGTTTATTTCAAATAAAGAGCTGCAAATATGGATTTGAGCTTGTAAGGAACAGCTTTCATTTAATCTAGGCATCCCATTCTGATTTAGAGCAGCTCAAACTGGGTTTTTGCAATGCAATGTATAGCTTTTCTGTAGCTGATGTGCTTCACCAGAGTGCATAGTCTCACATCAAGTGCAAAGAAGAAACACAATTTGTCACAACAAGAGGGGGGAAAGGAGCAATAGATGTGGACAAAGAAAGTTGCAGATAATGCAGTACAATTTGTGTCAAAGCTCAAACTCTCAAAGTGTTTTACTGCTCTATAAGATGGAGCTTTTATCATCTATCATATATCCCCACTGTTTTACATGACCACTGTAACAGGAAAAAACAAAAGAAAAATGGCTGAGAACTTAGCAATACTAGAATCACAGCTGCTGTGGGAGCTGTGGAAGTGCTCTTCAAAGCCAGACATCAAAATGAGTCTCTGGAGTTTTTCCTCTCTTTCACCTCCGCCCTCTAACATGCACTTGTCAGATGATTCCCCTTTTCTCATTAAATCAGAGCCCTCATTCCCAAAACAGCAGGATACAGGGGTTGGTATTAGAGCTGCTTGTCTAGTGCTATTCTCTAACTTTGTGAAGACCTCATCTAACCTATAGTGTGTCTATAATCACGTGACCAGGGTTCCAGGCTGTGTGTTTGATTCCTGGGGTTTGACTCCGGTCTTTGTAATCTTGCTAAAGAGTGAGATGTATAAAATACTTATTAGTATTAGCAATGGCATGTTGCATTAGTTGTACCAAAGGATTCTTTTAACTTTGATTCTTAAAAATTATGTATGCCTATGCTTTCAAATAATTTTCATTTACCGTCTCTCTTTGCTCTTGTACCCAACCAATTTAAAGGAGCCCGCTCACTTCTAGTCTGTCTCCATGTTTTCCGTGTCACAAAATTTAAATTACCTTCAGTCGCTTGCTCTTTCATTCTCTCACATCATTACGCTGTGCACCCACTGCAATCTTACCCTTTCACAGTCAGAGTGGTTCCTCAGGCAGACACTCAGATCGCAGTGTAGGTACACTACTGAGTAATTAATCATTTGGAAGAGACTGATGGTGAAGCTGGCACTCGTTGACAAGGCAGTGGGCAGTAGTGTGATCCCTGCTGGTTCTGCTGCTAACCTGAGGCACCAAAACAAATGCAGAGTATAACCTTAGTGGATTTTTTTTTCTTTAAAAGAAATAGCGGAATGTTTAAGGAAAAGCAGTTAAAGTGAGAAAATCCTGCCACAGGCCATGGAAGCTGCAGTAATCAATAAACAGTGCACCCTTTTTGTGTCAATATTTTGGATTGGACTGAGCTGAACACTTAAAAAAACAATAAATCATATTAGGTAAATGTCAGTTTTTGTTTTAGGGTGTTGTAAGATTGGTAGTTATGATATGTAATGTTAATAAGTTTTGCTATAAATTCTGATTTAGCGTCCAGAATATATTCACCAGTGTGCTGATTTTTTAAGCGTTTCCTCAGCTCTTTAGGAGTTATTGAGGTTATTATTTCAAGGTAATTTAAAATGATTTACTGTTTTTTTTTTCTTCATTTCACTCAGGAGAAATACATTTGGAGAAAAAACTGCATATCACTGGTGTAAACATTTTTGTAAGTTTAACAGTCACTCAGACTTTGATATTTTACAGGTTGTCTATTTACAGTATATTGCTGCTTCTCCATATGTGTGGAGTGCACCCAATTTCCATCTATCTGACTGATCCTGGCTCAGAGAGATAACACCATCAACCTACAACAGCCTTCTTTTTATCTAGAATATTTAACTCTTAGAAATGGACCTGCAGCTTCCTGGATTGATGTAAGTTATAGTAAAACTGTTTATCTGGTAAAAAAATAAATAAATAAAAATAAACATTCTTTTAAGCAGTGACAGTCTAGCCCTACGTATAATAACAACCCTGGGCCGTGTGGATAAGTGTTACCTGGTAAAAATGTGATACCTGAATTTTTTTAATTCTTTTATTCCCCCATCACCAGGTCAGAGATTTGGAAAAATTGAACATTTAAACTTATATTTAATCCAAAGTTTGAATGAGACTGCCTAATAACCTCATTACAAGAAGTCAACAAACACTGATGTTATCAAAGACATCAGAATTCTATGCATCCATCCATTTTCTTGACAGTTTATCCAATTCATTGTGGTGGGGGATTGCCGGAACACAAGAGTTGGAAAAGAACACAAACTCTTATTTCCGGCTTTCCTGTTTACCTGGAGAAAAGACAGCAGGTAGAGTTTGCAAGGTCTGGCTGGATGGTTGGAGACAGGCAACAGGAGGTGACCCCGAGGTTTATCTGACTGTTGTTTGTCTTTAGGTTGATAACCACTCTGAGGTTCCCCTGGGCAGGTACAGCATCGCCAGGCTCTACACCTCTCCCAAGGTCAAGACTCATTTCTGCTGTGTAGTTTCCACTGCCACACAGATCCTCTGAAACTTCTGTTATACTACCAACAAATTGGTGTATTTGCAACATGAATCTTAACATATTTACATCATAAATATCTTTAAAGAAGGGCGGCACCAAAAATGTTATTGTGTAAAGTACTGCATATTACATACTTTATGTTACTGCTAAACATACACACATAAACATACATCTTATTTTGTGATTGATTTCTCAATGTAGACATTCGTTTACATCTATTTTGATTTAGTATAGAAATCAGCTTTAGGACTTGCAGTCACATGAGTATCTCAGGTTGAACAAATACAGCTCTGAAAACTCTTCCCACCTCAGAGTTTTCACAGTTGTGAAGGGTAGGAGTAGTTATGTCTAAGTTATTTTGCTCAGCTAAAATTCCTAATTGTGCTATAAACATTCATTGACTGCAGAAATAAATAAATAAAATGGCATCCTAGTCTGTTTGCCAACTGTGGTTCCTGACTTCTTTTCACAAATTAGGAAGAAAAAAAACGTAAAAGTCATGGGATCATTTCTAGTCAATATTTCAATCATTCAAAATCTCCAGTATGTGTTAACTAATTATAAATAGTAGCATTACCCAGAGAGATACAGATGTGATGAGGTCCTTCCCCTGCGCTTCAGCTTTGGCAGCTCTGACTCAGACTCTGGCAGTAACAGGCTGCGCCCAGACTCTTCTTTAGCCGCGGCACTCACTAACCTGGTGGCATTTTGCGCTTCAAGTACCTCGACATTGCCTGCTCCTCGGTTTAATTGTGTTTTTGTGTTTTTTTCAGAGAGCACCGTCAGCTCAGTAGCCTTTATTTTGGTCTGCAGAAGAGCTGCTTCAGGTTCAGATAAAGTGACCTCTTTAGCAGGAACCTCCTGAGCCTTCGAGGTCTCTCTGTGAAAGCGTCTTTGTGTTGTTTTCCTTACAAAGTGGGGCCTCTCAGGTGTCCAGTGCCTCTCCAAATGAACAGCTTTAGCTGCCACACTCCTGGCCTTTTCTGACATCGTTTCATCAACGCCGCGATCGGATTCACCGATACTGATGAATGCTGAAAGCGTTGCATATTCAAGGTCAGCGGCCTGCGGTGTAGCCTTTCCAGCTACAAGACAGTCAGAGCTGCAATTGCCATTTTCTGGTTTTGCGCCAGCAGTGTCCTCGTCTCTGAAATGATCTCTTTCTGTGACTGCACCCTGTGTTTTATACATTTTCTGACTATGATCAATTTCACCTGGTCCAGTTGTTGTTTCAGTCGTCTTGGTTGACCGAGCACAGCCGATAGTCCTACAGCTGCTTTTATTAATAATGTCTGTGGGCGAGATCCTTGTAGTTGGTGCAGAATCTGCCATAAATCCAGATATCAATTGACTTATTGAAGTCTTTTCATGCGAGGTCTGCCTGTCAGGCTGCTCTGTTTTGTCCTGCGTATATGCTGCAGAAATTTTCTCAAGTAGAGATTGTTTGGCTTCAAAAGCACTCTTTGTAGTCAGAGCTGTTTTGATGTCTTTAATTAATGAATATTCCATTTTTCTATGCATGGTAGATGTTGGACCATGCAAACCTTCAGCTCTGTGGGATGTCTGCAGCAAGTCTCTTTGGATGTTCTTCTCTGGGTCATTAATATTATGTGTTATTGCAAATACAGCAGGAGCAGCATGCTGACTCTGTTCAATAGTCCGTACAGAAATTTTATCCTCAGGCAGCTCGGCACTGTGTGTTTCTGTTGTGTGTTGTCTTTTCACAGCAGGGGTGGGTTTGCCAGTAGTAGGAGTTATGGGACGCCCTATCAATGACAAAGACTCAGTATGACGATTCGAGTGCTCTATGTGCTCAGCAGCAGCGCGAGATGAGTTTTCCACAACTGGCACACTCTCACTAGCCATCAGCAGTGATTCGTGATCTTCTTTGGACACAGTAACACCACCTATGGTAGGAGTTGGAGCCAGGGACACGGAATCATCAGTTACTGCTGTTATCATTTGAAAGGAAGAAGTAATTAGCTGGTCGTCAGTCTGGTGTGTGGATTTACTGAGGATAATGATATCATTTCTAAAAGTAATATGTGCAGCAGGGAGAGCACTGTTGCTCACTGAATTGTTTTGCTTTCCGGGTGTTTTTTCTGCATGATGCTTCACATCAGAAACAGATATTTTAGTCACATCATCATGCTGGATTTTAGGCATTTCAGGCCAACCTTCTGACTCAACATCTGGAGAGGTGCCAGATGGGGCATGTGTGCTAAAGGCAGGTGTTCCAAAATCATACACAAAATTGTCGTCCATAGCCTGCTCAGTCCTGGGCCCAGCATGAACCGCAAGCATGACAGACTTGATGGGAACTGTCACTGTGCTGTTTGCTTCATTTTCGCCATTTACACTGATCAGGTCATTCTCATGAATCATTTTCATTGCTGGTTTATCAGCCTGCATTATAGACAAAGAGTTAAGTTCATCTATGTTATCTTTATTGCTGCCGGTCATTGGTGTAATAAAAGGTAAACTGTTCTTTTCAAGTCTCATCTCTGATATTTGCTCTGTGACCAGCTCTAAATGTTTCACTTTCAAGGTCACCATTGTTCGTGCATTATCGTTCTCCTTGATTTGATTTGTCTCATCAGCAGTCCCTAACAAAGACTTGAGACGGTCACTTTCACCATTCGCATGTTGAGTGTTGGAATTGGCCCTAAGTAAGTTTAGTAAGACAGGGCTAACCGCTGATCCGGTTAGACCTGTCAGCCTATAGGTGCCAGGTAAAATGTCACCTCCAAACAGGCTGAGATTTAGCAGCGGTGACATGTTGGTATGGGGAAATTGATCGTTTTCCGCTTTAGGACTCGATGATGCCGTTAGGGTATGCACAGATCTCTGTTCGTTACCATCAACAGAGGTATGCAGAGCATCTGGATGGGCTGTCTGCTCTGACAGTTTAAATGAGCATGGCTGGCCTGAAGTCATGTCAAAAGAGGGGGAGGAGGAGGACTCGCTGATCTGAGGGACAGGCTGCGCTTGGCGAGGCTGCAACTGGCCTATGGAGATGTGGGCCTCGGATGACAAGGCTGTGGCCGTGGGTGGCCTAGTAGATGAGTGATTATACATCTTCTGGTGTGGACCGGGATTCACTGATGCTATAATGTATTCTGCTTGCTCGCTCTCATTTGCGGTATGTAAAATTGAATTGGCCTTTGAAACTGAAGCACTAAATTTATGCGTCTGATCTGGGATGTCGTAAATAATTGATATATTGGGAGTAGAACTATTTACTGTAAAGTGGGGCTCAGCTCTCGGGAATCCAGCTGCGGTTGTCAATCGATGGGTGGTGAGTGACAACATATTGCTGATAGTCTTTAGTAAAGGATGAGTGAATTTAGCTGCACTGCTGTTTGGGGAAACCGATGGCTTTAATACGTCCCCAAACTTTAAAGTGTGATGTCCAAATGTAGCTTCAACAACTTCGTTCCGGGCACTTTCTTTAGCGAGTGATGACGTAACTTCATGTTTTGGAAAAACGTCCTTGGGGGGAGAGAGATGAGATCTAATCTGTGTGTATGGCTCTTTGGGAAGAGATGTTGTTTTCGATTGGTTTGGGCTCTGACTTGTTGTTCTGTGATTTTTTGTTACTTTATAGGTAAATGATTTATTTGTGATTTCCACAATTGCTGTAGCATTTTCCCCCAGATGAATGCCCTTGTTCTCAGTGGTTCCCAGCTGTTTAATCAAACTGGGGCAGGGAGACAGGTTCTCAACAACGTGTTCTTTATCTCTGTTAAATTCTTTCGAATTAGTAGGGGGTCCAAAGGGAACATTTGTCATGTCCTTTTTCCCAGTTTCCCCAACACATTTATTGTCTTCTTTCCCCTCTGGCGTTTTCTCACTTCTATCCTCTGCTTCTTCCCTTTTTAAAAACTCACTCTGCTTTTCAGCTGCAACTTTTAGGAAATTCTCTTCATATATTTTAGTCACACTGTCTCTTTCAGCTCCTTCTTCATCACTGATTTGCCCTTTGCTTTGATCCAGGTTTTGTCTCAAGGTTACACCCTCCTCTCCATTGGTCATTCCACCTTTTTCCCTACTCATGTTGGCGGTTTGCGCTGCCATTTCTTCCCCTTCCCTGTCTACATTTTGATTTGTCTTAGCTCCGGTATTGATTATTTTTTCTTGTTCTTCTTCTCTGCTCTCTTTAAATTTTTCTCTTTGATAGTTCAAAGTTGTGTCTTTCCTGTTTTTCTCTCCTTCCTGCAACTTTATTATTGCGTTCATCTCCTCATCGTTTTCTGTCTTGTTCCCATTTTCTACAACTGCATACAACACCTGTTCATTTTCATCTCTTGATTTTGCATCATTATCTCTTAGTGACTCTCTGATTAAATCCCCACTATATGTTGAATAAGACTGACGAGTTGATGCTACATTCTTCCCTCCAGCTACATCATAAGTTCCTACCTGGATGAGTTTAGACTGAGTCCCTGAAAATTTACTTATTGTCAGTTTCTCAGAAAGAGATTTGCTTGATAGTGTTGATAGTGTCAACACGGGCATGTCATCACCAAAGTCCTGACTCAACTCTGAGAGAAACAACTTCCTGGGCAAAACTTCTGTTGTTGCGGTGGTTGTAGTTTGTGGTTCTCTTATAACTGGTTTATTCATTGGCCCTGGGGGATCAACAGAAGAATGTTTAACAATGCTGTGTACAGCGTTAAATGTCAGAGGATCTTGTTTATCTGTCAAGTGTGTCTTTGTGGTTGCAGATGCAAGCTTTATGGCAGAATCCTTTGGTAATAATGTCAGTATGGGTCCTTTGGTCTGAAAGCTTGGTTTAGCTGGTGTTTGGAGTCTCAGAAGAGAGATCAAAGAATCCACTCTTCCTGTCTGAAAGTGAGACTCAGGATTTTTGACTGGCAAAGCGGTTGGCCTACTCCCGCTGAAGGGTGTTGCTGCACTGTGAGCTTCAATCGAGCTCATTCTTACTGCTGGATGAGATGCAGTGCTGTGATCACTAGCCTCTGTAAGAACACTTATGTGACTGCTGTGGGGAGCTGAACTAATAACAGGCATATTGCTTACCGGCCCACTGCTGATGTCCAAAGACTGTCTTTGAATGAAACTTTTTAAGTTTGTTGAGACACTGTGGGAAGCTGTTTTGTTATTCTTACTGAAATATATCAGGTCTGACTGCGGGACCCCAGTGCTTACTTTTTTTTCATACAGCTCTTTTTCTCCACTTTCTACTGGTTTCCTTGCAATATAAAAGGATTTTGATGAGTGAGAAAATGTTGTAGATGTTGAGACGGGTCTCTCTTTGACAGAAGCTTCACTAGGATAGGTATGCCTCAATTGCTTCTTGGTGTCTTCTTTTGTTTCTGACGACACCTCAGCAAGAGGTCGTGTGTGAAACGCAACCGCTTCTGGAGCTGATGAAAAATAAATGTTTGGGGAATCATTCAAAACGCTTTGAGTATGACTCTGAGTGTTACTGAAGGAAAAAGAAAGGAAAGTCTGATCGTAAGGTAAACTTCCTCCCTCGCTGAAACTGGAATGCTTGGTGAGGTTTGCATGACTGACGTCTCTGTTTAACATTTCTTCTTGCACTCGAGCTGATTGTTGATATAAACTGGTTAATGAGGCTGTAAGTTTACTGTTGTCAGGGGAGCCATGAGTTGACAGTGCAGCTTTCCCGGTGGAGCTTGGCCTTTGATCTTTCAGGCAGGTCAAACACAAGTTTGTTATTGTGCTTCCTCTCGGTGAATCTTCTGCTGTAGCATTCTGAAAGATGGATTGCACTATGCCCAAGCCATACAGGTCTCTTCTCGGGTTTGTGGTGTCCTTGCCTTGAGACTGTTTGTCACTGCTGTCATTACGTGCTGCATCCAGGTTATCAATTACACGAGAATGAGATGCAGATAGCACTGGAGGTCTCAGGGATCCATCAGCAGATGTGAGCTTAACAGAGTTAGTGTTTCTTTGATTCCTGTAATCAAGAAGAGTGTGAAACCAAGGAGGGGCTTTCACTGCATCTGCAGTCAAATTGCCCTCTGGGTCAGAGGTGTCATTCATCATTAATTCTATTGCAGATTGCGCAGAAGATGATGAGATCTTTTCATAATTAGAGATCAATAGTTTTTCTGATTCAGTGTCAATCCTCATAGCCGACGGCTCTCTCTTTAATATGAGAGAGCTATTCCCATTTCTGGAGACAAAATGCTTTGAGCTTGGTAGGGAAATTAAAGCTGACGCCTTTGTGATTAGACTTTTCTTATAAGGTTTTGTCAGTTTGGTGTCAAGCAAGACCGCCTCTGGAAACTTGGCAGTCAATGCCATTGCGGTATGTTGATGCGTCTTCTCTGTAGGTATTGCTTCTGTGCCATGACCAGTTGTGTTTTGATTTTTCAGAAGCAGATCTTTTGTGACAGTTGTGCCTTTTGTTTGCTCTGTGAAGTAACCTTGGAAATCTTCTTTTTCTGCCCTGACTACAAAGACAAAAGCAAAACATGTCACTCAAATGTCCTCCCTAGAGGCTCTGTTTCTTAAACCTAGCATGAAAAATAGCACAAAAATGAATAAATAAATAAAATAAATGTGTTACTGTTTAGTACTATTGAAGTCTTAAAATCACATTAGTACAAACACCTGGTAGTCAAAATAAGACCGAGTGACCGAGTGAGGTTAAAACGTTTTAAATCAGCATCACTGTTTTAGTTATTGGAGAGGTTGTCTTGCCCTCATATAACTTGTCCTTGCTGGTGATTTTGAGAAGTTTAAAATAGTGTTAGAAAAAGAGCCTTGCTGCTATAGTACATGTATGCATAAGATACAAAATGTCTGAGGTTGATGTTTACACTGATAATTGCAGCACTGATATCAGCCAGTTTACAAACTGAATTAATCTTTGCACATTAATATTGTGAGTTATTACTCTACGGCAAACTGAGGAAACAGCAAAAAAAAAAAAAAAACCTATACCATAACATCATATATTTAAATACAGGATAACACATACAGGTCACACATAGAATGGATGTGAAAGATAAATCAATTAATATTGATTATATTAAAAAATTATCATAAAGCTAAACAAAGTAGTCTTATGAATGTAATACGCCTTAACTTATGAATGTATTCCTCTGATTTAGGTAATTACTTTAAAATTAAAATGTAAGAGTCAGAATATCATTTATGTATCTATCCATCTACCAGGCATGACACACAATTAAATATATATGTGAGGAAAATTCTTTTAATTTATTCAAAGAGCTGCTACTTTATTTTATTATTTTCGGCATCTTTACTCTACTCTGCAGACCACTCTTTGTTGTTTTTATTTTTGGTATTTTCTTCTGATGAACAAATAAATAATCATTTCTGTATTTTTTAAAATTGCTTTAATATTTTTTACATTTTAAGCAGTATATTGTATTTTAAGTATTACAACTTTACAGCTCATATATGTGTACTGTATGCAGTTTATATATAGCTGCAAACTGCAAAAAACAAACATATTCTAAGATAGAAATAATTTATTAAATTGGCCAATTAATTGATTATTCTGCAGTATACAGGGCTCACCATTAAGTTAAGTTACTTTACTGAGAAAATAAACACAGCTGTGAGTACATACCTGGAAGCAGAAAGAGTCCTAGTATAAAACAGTGAAGCATTTTCATTTCTGTTCTGTCTTGTTTGCGATTTATCAGTCCCGCTGATTAAATGCTCTTATTACTGTTTAATCCACCTGAGCAGAAGGTATCAGCTGTTTGCAGTTACTAGCAGATGGTGCCATCCCATGCAGGGAGCTTTTGTCCTCTGAAGTTCATTTATACGTGGATTCGATTTCACAGTAATCCTCCCTCTTTACAGTCACAACTACATGGTCATGGGTTAGAAGATGAACGAATTCAATAAGGAATTTTAAACAATATGTATCAGAAACTCTGACTATAGGGCAACAATACAATTAGTTGTACTGAAAATGCTACATGTTAATGTAAAAAAAAAAAAAAAAAACCCAGAAACTGTATCTAAAGGTCTCAAGAAGTATAAACATGTTAATATTTCACTTTTCTAATCAATTTCCCAATAGAAATACCATCACCATGTTAATGTTGCCTTGTCTGGTCAATATCAATCCTTGAAAATACAACAATACAATACAGCTTATTCAACTGTACAAGAAGCAGATATTTGATGTTATAAAATAATGGCATTCAAATCATATAAACAAGGTATAACTGGGTGCACTTATGTGGTGATTCATACATGAAATACCTCCATGAAAAATAAGCACGGAATATTGTAGCTGTTCAGTGTTTAAATACACTGTTCTAATACACTGAACAGTGTATTTAAACACTGTTCAGTGTTTAAATACAAGAAGAACGGAGGAGACTCAAATCCAAATGAAATACAGCAAATATTTAATGAATCTCTAGTCAGACTTGGTTTTCTGTAATAGCAAATCAATATAATCTTAAATGAAATTTAATAAATAGGAAGACTAATAAACAACCAGGACTGGCACGTCTTCATTTTCATTTACTTTCACTTTTACCCAAAGGTAAGCAAGTATCAACGCCTAACACAGAATACAGGAGAAAACAAGACTGGGGTCAAGGAAGGATATTATAAAATGTGTGGTCAGGGGTTCATGAGATGAGCTTTACACACGAGTGCAGAATCTCAAGGCCGTGTAGTTCTCGAAGTTTGCTCATGTGTCTGGAAAAGAAGAAAAAGTTTTGGGGGATTTTTTGCAAAAGAAAGTAGCAGTAATATATTCAGCTGGTTGGCATTCAATTATAACTACACTCGTGTGAGCTCAGGAACTGAAGACTAACACATCCTCAACACAGTCACACGCAAGTGCTTCAGCCTGGAGGAATATTTTAGTCTTTCTAGGAATAAAGAGACGCGTTGTCGCTGCCGACTCCTATTATAAAGTGTACTATTCCAGTTGTACTTGCATAATCGCAGAGGTTCTGTAGTGGATGATGGCCCACAGCAGCACATCACTGCTTAGCTAAGAACGTGATCACTTTTTATTTATATCCTCATGGATTTATGAGTAGATGGATGTTCATACTCAAATTTCACTCTTCAGTGAGAGTCAGAGAAACAATATTTAACTTAACATGTTCTAGATCCTTAGAAGGGCTTTCTTCTCATTTATTTTACAGGCTGTTAAAAAAACATAAATTTTTCCCAAATATTTATAAAATCCTCAAATAATGCTACTCCAAAAAAGAGCTCGTTAAACTCATTAAATAATTGATAGCTAAATTTTATGACTTCTTTGCAAAAGTAGTGCTTTAAGCTGCTGGTTTAAAGGTCATTCAAAGATGAAAAAAAAAAAAATCCAAAGTAGAAAATAATTTTCAGTGTTATCACAGGCTTCCAAAAAGTTATAAAGTTAAGTCATTTTAGTTATTTTTAAACTGAAGTGTTAAATAGCCATGTTATATTTTTACCGAAATTTTCAGTGAAAACACTACGTAGGCTACTTTTTTGCTTACGTTTAACTTTTGCTGTGCCGCTGGATATAATGCTGTGACACTACTATTACACTATAATGTTGCTGTTGCTGGGTTCTTGTTTCAGTAGATTTGCACTTCAAATTAGGCTGTGCCTCATCATTACAGCAGGAAAAGAAGGATTTATTTACTTACACTGAAATAAATGCTACTGCCTGCAAGCTGCAAGCATCAGTAACGGAGCCATTATTTTTTTCTGTATCATCAAAAATATACTTTTCATGAATTTCTTGAAATATTGTGATATAATATTTAGGCTATATCTCTTACCTCTACTATCAATGCTCAGTGTTGGGAAGGTTCCCCTTAAAACGTATTCACTACAGATTACAGAATACATGCCCCAAAATGTATTTTGTAACGTATTCTGTTACGTTACTCAATGTTACTCTGAAAACTTTGGATTACTTAATATATTATCATGTTTTTTACAACTACATGAATGTACTATTGCTGTGTGATTTATTACTATTACTGAAGGCTATTCACCATACCAATACCAACTAGATTTTTAAATCTTAATATAAATGAGTAACAGTAGGGTGGACATTAGGTAAGGCTGCACTTTTTGCAGCGATCTCGTGTAGAAAACTATTCCGCGGGTATATAAAACAGGTCCGCAGCTCTGAACCATAGTAAAGGGACCTCTGGCTAATGCATCGGGTTCAGTGTCAGGCTCGTAGCCGAAAACTGGCTTTACTTTGTTGTCTGGGTCAACTTTGCCAGCGAGAGACAGAGAGAGGCGTTGAAGGGCTGCTCCAATGGAACTTATTGTTTTGCAGGAAAACACGAACACAGCGTACAGTCGAGTCCTAATCCAGTCTTTAAGTCTGACGTCATTAGCCGTGCCTGGGCCCAAACGCCGCTGTCACACGATCAGTGCGGCATCACTGAGAGTTAAAAACTGTCTAAATCCTTTCATCTGTAATAAAATGATCAGGGTTACTGCTCTACCAGGTGTAACAATTACGCTTAACATCCAGGCATCCATGAAAACCAATTTAACGGGGTTAAAAGTTAGGTCATTTATAAACTATATTGACTAAACTATTACTAATAAACTTTGATATACGTGACTATCAATGAGAGTGAATATGGCCGGTTGACATAAGACCTGCTAGTAAATATATTAAAATGCCACCTAGGAAGCGTGTAATGACCGGGAGCAACATGGCATCAGCTTCAAAGCAATACGTGGTGAGTGACTTGGTTCTATTGTTTACGTGGCTTTTTATCGAGTAGGGTGAGAGGGTACCTGGGTTCACATCGACACAACTTCCCAAGAGCTATTGCTGCATTTTGCTGCACAGCTGTCCTCTTAGCATCTCCTGCAGCGTGCTGCAGCAGCAACAGCACAATATCAGTGCCCAGCAGGTCACTGGCAACTCCCTCCAAATCAAGGCAGTGGGCCAAGCACAGGGCTGCATTTCCTGAGACCATCTTGTCACAGCTGGAGCTCAGCAAACGACGTATTATAGACAATTCTGTGTGAAATAGTAAATGAAAGGCAATTAGGATGTATATTAAATATATTTAAAAACACCTAAAGAATTTTAAAAAAAATCAGTGGTAGTATTTACTGTCCTCATATGTGAATCAACACACACATGCACACACTTTATTTGAATATTAGGTCAGCACTCAAATTTTATTCATGGACTAATGAAGGAGCTTGTTAAAACCAACACGTCAATCATTCCTCACTTTTATCAGAGTTCACCAGCTTCTCCCGTGCCAAGTGACTGGCAGCAGTGCACACTGTCAAAGTCTTAATGGCATACTTAGTGGCAGTCTGCCCGGCTCCCTGGGTAGGCAAGCACAAAAATAACAATGACATTAAAACCAGCAGAAAGAATGTGGATAAACATTAAATATATGGTGAAAGTCAGAGGTCACGTGAAATATGAAGAAAAACTGTCTTTTAGTGGAATTACGGCAAATATGTATATATAGAGAAAATTTGGGTCTCTGGCTTTGTTGCATTTTGTGTTGCTTTGATGATACATGATACAAAACATGAATGAACAAGACAAATAACCAAGCTCACAAATAAGCAACGAATTCAGGCCAAGTAGTTGCATGCGCTACTATGAAATGAATATGTGTTATACAATGACACTTTCAACAAGAAGAAGCAGATAACTATGGTGACATTTGAGCAGTAGATTAGTGTTCACAGTTACCACCTTCAGGAGCCTGCACATGGTTTTGACCATTTCCCTTTGGATAACATGCTGAACGGCTTGTGAGGACTGGGGTAGGACAGTGCTTAGCACACCTGTGGCTCTCTGGAGAACAATGAAGAATTCTGGCATTAGAAAATGAAATAATACAAGACTGAAAAAAGTAGAGGCTTGAAAAACAAAGCAGAGAATTTGGATAGCAGATTATCAAAAAACTGCTATGGGGCAAGGAAAACTAGCAGAAAAAAAACATTTGAGGAAAAAGGGTGTTTTCAGAAAATAATAAAAAATAAGGCTATTACAAACTGGAAACTCATTGCAGGTTAAAATGTCTAAATTGCACTGTATTATCCAGGATTTTGAAAGCACAGTTTAATATTTTGAAGATACAAACTACACAATATGTGGGTGTGCAGTAGACAAAATAGAACAAAAGTGATGAAAAAAATTGTTCCTTCTTTTCTCTTTGTTTGCCGACACAAAGAAGGTTATTCTTAACAACAAATTAGGACCAGACTGGGTTTCAGGCTGCAGTCAGCTTGGTCTAAAGCCACTACTATATCTATATTATTGCTAATATATGTTGTAATATATCTATATCACTAAAGCACTTCTGGATGGATGCAAACTGCATTTCGTTGCCCTGTACCTGTGCATGTGCAATGACGATAAAGTTGAATTCTAATTCTATTCTATTCTACTGGCAATAATGTGAATAATGCATCTTTAAAAACTTTGAAGGGTGTTTTGAAGAAATTTTTACTTAATATTTTACCATAAAGACAACTTTCTCATGCTTTAAAGCAAATGTTAACTGTCGTTTCCAATGTATAATTGGAACATACATGCTCATTACAGATCCTCTCAGCAAAGCTAATCATAAGTAAATATACAAAATAGCAACACAATAATAGTAATAATAAAGGTGGTGCATGACAACATAACACCCGCATGGATGGCTGGACCCAAGGTCTCCCAGCAGAATATTGTCCAAAGTATCACAGTGCTTGCTTTTTTCCCATAGTGCATCCTGGTGCTGGGTGTTCCCAAGGTAAGTGCACCCAGCCATCTACCACGTGATGTAAAAGAAAAAACATGATGCATCAGACCAGGTCACCTTCTTCCACTGCTCCGAGGTCCCGTTCTGATGCTCACAAGCCCAATGTCAGAGCTTTGGCGATGGGCATGAGTCAGCATGGGTCCCTGACTGGTCTGCTGCAACAAAATGTGATGCACTGTGTATTCTGACACCTTTCTATCAGAACCAGCATTAACTTGTTCAGTAACAGTAGCTTGTCTGTTGAGCTGAACCATATGGGCTAGCCTTTGCTCCCACATGCATTATTGAGCCTTAGCCATGCTTGACTCTGTCACTGATCCTTAGTTAGACCTTTTGAACGATATTTTTAGAGATGCTGTGATACAGTCGTCAAGCCACAACTTGGCTTTTGTCAAACTCACTCAAATCCTTACGCTTACCCATTTTTCCAGCTTCTAAAACATCAACCTTGACAATAATAGCTGATATATCCCACTCAATATCCCACTCACTAAAAGGAGCCATGATGAAGAAATAATGAGTGCTGTACACTTCACACGTCCATGGTCATAATGTTATGCCTGATCAATCTATATTCTTTGTTAAGGTTAAAGTCTTCAGAGTGCTGGAGCATAAGCTTTACTCACAGTTATGATTCCCTCGTCGTTATGCCTCAGGAGATCCACACAGGAGTCGCAGAGTGAAACAGAAAGCTCCTTCAAACAGCCACAGATGGAAAAGTAGATAATCCAATTTTCACATTCAATTCACCTTTAAATAGGTGTCACAACAAATAATTGCTCTTTCTGCTTCCTTTCCCATTGGCTTTTATTCTTTTTTTTTATATATATATAGTCTAATCTATCAATTTTATTTTATTACTATTAATGAATTTTGTAGTAAGAATGTTGTTCCTCAAGTTGTCAGGAAAAAAGTCAGCGAACCTGAGAACTTACCTGGACGACAGGGGAGGTGACGGTTGAAAGGTTCATAATCAAGCCAAGTAAAGGGTAGAGGATCTCTCTGTATTCAGATGCAATGCATGTCCTCTGTGTGGAGAGAGAATAAAACCCTCCACTAAATAATAAGCAGACATCTTTTCTGTCTCATTGTGACAACACTATAGAAGACATTTAATTTCTTTGGCATATGACGTCAACACAATGAATAGCAATTTGCACTTTTCTAAAGAAAGAGACAAATGTGTAACCATTACTAACAACAGCAACCAGAAAGGCCTTCCAACAATCAGGATTATGAGCAAGCTTGTGACGAATGACGTCATCTCTAGCCAGACAGCCGAGACCTGATATCAGTGACGGAAGTATATGTTGATTGGACGTGTTGACATTTTTCTGAAAAATACAGGAAACACTTGAGTACTTTTTCCACATGCACACAAATTGCATATAAAATGAACCAGTAATTGCATATATTACCAGTATTGTTGTAACTGGCAGAATGACTGAGTCTGTCAAAACATCTCTCAACTGAATACAAAACCTGCAAGAGAAAAAAAATAATAATAATAATAATAATTATATATATATATATATATATAAATATAGGTCACTCAACATATAATATTAGGTTAACTACTTCATATATATATATATACTATATACATATTATCTTATACACACACATTAAAAACATGTCTGCTACAAATGCAAAACAGGATTTGTCTGAGTATAAATATGGAAAATGACAGAAGGTCTTCTACTGTCACACTGAAGTAGCAAATTGACAATATCCTGTGTGCTGTTTTTACAATGGGAATAAAGTCAAAGGTGAGAGAATGATGTCAGGTTAAGTTATACACAGCCATGCATGACAGAAGAAAGCAAATCAAGAACTTCGAGAAACGAAAACTGTGTATAACCTCAAAGGAGGGGACCTCTTTCCAAGCTGAACAGTTGAGTCCAGTGACTTATCTTCGAACCCTAGAGCCTCACCAATTGTAAATACTCCCCAAATGCACAAAATGTCCAAGTCATACAAGAGATACAGGACAATTCAATTTAGTGGTCAAACAGCACTGACTGTCATGTCTCTGAAGACTGTCACTCATCCACATCAAAGGCAGTAAAAGTCGGATGGATTTGCTGTGAGCTTTGTATCTGCACTGCACAGTCATTTTCCCTTTAATTCAATACTAAAGGTTAAGAATGCTGTATGATATCTATACTGCTTATATGTATACTACACTAAAATAGCATCTTTAAGTTGAAGTCGATCAGAAGCAGAGCAGCCTTGGCTTTAATGAGTGTAGTAATTAAGGCTTGGATAACACATTATTATTTCTCTCTAGACTTCTGCTGATACAGGTAGATCTGTGCTAGGCAAACAGAAGTGTCCTGTAGGCCTTGTTTCTGTTTTATTAGTTTGTAAAGACTGCGTGAAGTGATCATGACTTGAGTATTTTGTTGGGTTAGTAATGAATCATACCGGCTTTCTGTTGCAAAGTTCTGCAGAATGTTGACCGCTGTGTTCTCCTGCTGCTTCTTTGGCTTTGAGACGCACACCATGAGGTTCCTCACTAACCTTTACATTCAGATAAGAGCAAAGGCAGATAAACAAAGAGAGAGGGAGAAGATATTACTAAAGGAAATTAATATTTTGTTCCCACATAATGATGGCATTTAGCCTGAGACCAACAACTGGGATAATAATGCCAGAAATACTTTGACAATAAAAATCGCTCTTTTTACATTTTCTGAAAATCTGCTCAGCCGCAGGTATACGGGTAGCAAAACAAATTGTTTGGGCTGCTCAGAGTTAACAGAGCAATGACAGAACAAAAGTTCTTGAAATATCATTAAAATGATGTCGCACCTGGAGTGACAATAACAAACATATTACCCGAGGCTAGACTAAAGTCCCTCCACTGCAGGGAGGAGGTAAAAGAGCATTACTGTTTCTGTCTATATAATATATAATTCCCTGTCCCTGCAAAGCGATTGACTATGGTGGACAATAACTGAATCTTCACTCCAACTGAGTCATCGCTAGTGGAATCTCCCGACAACATAAAGTAATATCTTACATGTTCAAATCAAGGCTCTCAATGGCCAAATGTCTGCCACGTGGTATCTCTGAGTACACCGACAGCAGTGCCAGACATTCTTTTGCCACTTCATCATGCTCCGATGAAGCCAAATGAACAATGGACTGTGTGGCGACCGGACATGTCATCAACAGCTTCTGGTTTTCATCTGAAAGCAGTGGAAAAACAAAGAAGAATAAAGAGACAGATACACTAGACACAGTGGTCCCATTGTCAGTTCCCAGTAAACAACAACCTAGTTTTAATGAATTTAGCATTGTATTATTAATCCTATGTTGATAATGAAGGTATTTATATTACAGATACACAGTGTGTAAAAATGATCAAGGCTTGCACAAAATGCTAGACATTCCATGTGTCACCCATCTGTAGTTTGGGCGATTAAGCACAAAAAACATGTTCAACAAAATACTGACAAGATGTGCATAAAGACCACAATACCAATTTAGAGGTCAACAGTATTGTTTTCTTATTTTCCTTCTAAATCGGTGACAGTAAAATGATACATGGACAGACACTGAAGTGTACCTCAGTTGTCAACATACCATTTCCACAACAAACTCTCCTCCATATTTTAAAAACAGACACACACAGCTCACGACTCTCTGGATCATTTGTTTTCTCCAACAGGCAACTGCAGAGAAATTATACAAGCAATGTGAGTATGTCAGTAAACATAAAACCCAGTTGCCAAAGACAACATAGCGGATAATTTTATATGAAACAACCCTACTGCAGAACAGTGTTTATTTTTTTTAAAAGGCACTCACAAAAAAAATATTCATTCATTTTTTAGATTCAGCTATATATGTAAAAGTGAAGAGCTTGAAAGACACCTTGAAATAAAAATACTATATTTAGCATAAAATGTAACTTTGAAGCACTCTAGACCTTTTTTCCTGCTTATCTTTAACTCTCAGAAATGACCAAGAGCACCCAAACTCAGAGTGCCCCTTCAATTTGTGATTAGGACAGGCCACAATGGCACTGGCTTTTCCTGCTTCGTGGCTCACATAGGTGTTAGGTGATTTATCTGGCTCACACCAGCAGCCTTACTGAGTATTTCCATCAAGCTCAGACTGCAGTTTCTTTGCACCCTCTGCTTCCTGGACACTGTGTCCCAGCTTGAAAAAGGATATTGCTAACAATGGACTACATTGAAAGCATGTGACAAGTTAATAATAACCTTACTGATCTGAAACGAGGGAGTCATAATTTGTATCTTGTACAAAAACACACCCTCTTTCTGGGACAGAACAGGGGCCATTGCTTATTTCAGCACTCATCTCAATCTCTAGTGTGATCATCTTTTCTTCTCTGGGCTTTCATAGAAACAGCTGAGGAGGGAGAGGGGGCGGTGAATGATCTCTCGAGTTTATGCCATCATTGTCTCTGTATGCCCCTGCCTCTAAGTCCATCTGTCAAAGCTCCACTGAGGGCTGACTGCTACCTCTCCCTCTGGTCTCCTTACCTTCTCACCGTGACATTGCTGGTGATGATACTAAAGCCATTGTTCAGCCTGAAAAGGGTCTGCCCTGTACCTGTTTGAAGAGAACAATATATGGTGTAAGAAGACGAAAAGCAGTGGAACATCATCAGGCAGCTTAGAGATTTTGCAGACGCACCTTTTTCACTGGCTGATTTACAGTCAAGGGCAGGAATGAAAAATACATAAAACATGTTAAGAGACTAAGGCAAAGTAAGAAACAGTTTATTATCTAATACCAAAGAAGACGAAGTAAAGCAGAGCAGTGAAGGAGTACTTTTAGGGGGAAAAGCTTGTAATGTCAGCCCTGCTGAGATCCTTTCAGTCGTAAGTTATGTAAGTTTTGCCCTTTTCTGTTGAATGGCACTGTAAGACAGGCATTATATCATTTGACATGACACTTTTATTCTTCTAATGAAGAAAAAAGTGAAATTTGATAAGAGATGTTTGCCATTTGGCAGACAATACCCAGGGCAACATAACATCCTATGTTACAAACAGTCATACAAGTTAACAAAAAAAGAAAGAAGAAGAAGTAGAGAGAGTTACCATTTCATTTTGATGTGCTTTACCTTCTTATGGTTTGCTGAGTGGTGAACTTTAAACATTATTAGTTTCATCAGCCTTGCCCCTGCAGTCAAAATACCTGAAAATTTACAATGCAGGTAGCAGAACACTCGATGCAGTTCATTACCACGTCATTGCCACATGTTTAAAGTATAAGTAGACAAAAAAACAAACTTCAGATGGAGCCACTGACCTTGGCGAGTTATACTGTTACAGTGCTGCTATTGAATAAAAAAAACTGCCATTTTTGCCTTGTGGCAATAACTAAAAAGAGTTACATTAGTAGCATGGACTTTCAAAGTTATTTGGCAGGTCAAAAACATTCACAAAAATATCACCAGCTCAAATAGGAAGGGTGAATCACCCAGTGAAGTTCAATTACTCCCTGTCCACAGTGGCCCCTTTTCAGACTGCAGAGGACTTGGTAAACATATCGGTTATTTTTCAGCCTGAGTGTATCATTGTCAAACAGGAACATGGGGTGAAATAGTGGTTGGCCGCCCAATTCCCTACTTCACCCAAGAAGAAATCAGGCCCATAAGAGTGTGTTCCTGCCTATCTAAAACCTTGAGAAACAAGCTCTGTGCTACCACCAAGCAAAAGGAATTAGATATGTTTCTTTTCAACAGCTCACTTCTTGCACTGAAATGTATATAAACATGCCATTTTGAGGCCCATGTCCATGGAGAGTGCCCGGGGCCAGGCTGTCACAAATCTAGTGTGTCAATGGAGAAGTTCCAACATTCAGTAGTGACCGACAGGACAGAGTGAAATAATGCTGCTGAGCTTAGTAAATGGACAAGTTCTATCATGGATGCTTTGTTAAATATTGCACTAAAGCTGCTCCACCAGGCACAGTAAAACAAAAAGGAAAAAAAAAACTTCTGTCTGTACTAGATGCTAAAGAAAGTTTCAGAGTGGCAATTCCAGGATTTTTATATAAGGAAATTCTGAAAAGAACCAGTGAAGAAGAAATGAAAGATTTTCACAGAAGTGGCACTGCACAAAAGCCTGAAAATTATTTATTGAATAACAGTTTCACATGTAAAGGTGGATATATCATTTCACTGTTGAGGGACAATAAACAGGAACATTTTTCAGTTTCTAACAAAAGTACTGTTGCTTTATATGTAGAGTTATAAGAAAAATAACGTTTTCACAAGACTCTGCAGACTGGGCAGTCCTGTGAAAAAACAATAATTCAATAGCTTGCATGTTGCTTTCGTTGATTGAGATGAGGTTTTCTCGTGGTAACCCTTCCAGACAGTAAAATTTTTCGAATTTTACTGTCATGAAATTTAACATTTAACATGCTAGTAATGCTCTCGGATGTAGCTATCAAGCTTCTTGCAAGTTACAGGACTGCACAGAGGTCCTGAAAACTTTCTTTTTCGTGACTATATATAGAGGATTTCAGCACTGCTATGATTAATTCTCTTCGATTTTAACTGAGCCAGCATCCTGACAAAATAAATAAACACAAATAACACAAACACAGCAGCAACTGAGGTAGATGTAGTTTTTCAAAGAAAGCAAACCTCTGATCTCTATACCATCAACATCTAAAAGTACAGAACGTTACGAGGCATGTCGAAAAAAATACTTAATTTTTAAACATACTGTAACGGTGTTTTTAATGAAGCAATTCATTGTTTATTTATAGATTCAAGAACAAAACTGCATCACTCTACAAGCAGGATGAAAAAGGAATATACAGTACTTAAAATTAATGAATTCTTTTTTTAATTAACCAATATCTTGATTAGACATGTCTCTGGTAGAAAACACAAAACATAGCTGGAAATTCAATCATTTAAGAAAATATTTGATTTAAAATAAAAGTGAAAATGCATTTGGACACATGCCCTTGGCCAACATGGAATCTGGATTGATATTAATGCACTGATCATTATTAAATAAACTAAGGAACAATGTCTGGCACGTCTTTCATTTTACATTAACGTCTGCGAAGCTGATACTTAATGGACATCAGCCACCATTTACACACTTGCTCCACTGTCACTGGTACCAAAGACTAATGGTGCAGGACTTCATGGATGGTAAGCATTTAACCTACCATGAAGCAATCCTGCAAAACTTAAAAAAGCATTTTTGTAATTAGCACAAGCTTTTAGAGCATATTATTGTAATCTCTTTTTCTGTTTCAAGTCTTCTTATCCAATCTAGCCTGAAATCCGTTTTTTTTTTTTGTTGTTTGTTTGTTTGTTTGTTTGTTTGTTTGTCATAAAACCAACAAATAGGTGCACCGGAGACGCAGTCTACCAAGAAAAAACTGAAAACAGTGATTAAAGGAGAAACACAATTGTTTGAACACTCACAGTCAGTAAGTGCTTGTGACAAAATCTCCAATCCTCCGCAGTAGTAGAGGGCAATCTGACCGGGTTTTGACAGCTTCTCCAACAGCTCCACCACTGTTGTGGCCTTCCTCTTCCCCTTGTCAAACTCTTCCCTTGCCTTTATCTCCTGAGTCTCTTTCTCCTTTCCCAAATCAACCTGGGTCAGGTATTCTGCAAAGGAGAACAAAAGAGAATGGAGAAGCAAGAAGAGAAAGTAAGTTATTCCATAGCAGTAAGTGCAGCTGCCCCTATCTGAGAAGAGTCTCCTGTGGTGCATCTGTCAACCTGGCATGACTACCACACCCACCACCTGCTATTAATATTCACTCAAATAGAAAGAGGTCACTTGCCAATGTATAAGAAATGTATTGGTACATCACATATGACCTAATAGCCCAAATAAGAAAATAGCAAAATCAGTGAAAAACACTGAACTTGATGCATCATATGCATTAAAGTAACAAAGTGCAGGAAGGTTAGGTTCTATCTGGGAATAAAACAAAATACAGCACAGTGCTAGTTCAGATAAACCAGGTCAGGCCACATAATCCCAGGTCACATCAGCTTAGGTCTCAGCTGGTATCATTATATGAATCTGATCATCAAATCTGGTACAGGTCCCACTACTTAAGTTGCTTTAGTTAGCCTAAAGTCAATTTGCCTCAGGAAGTCACACTGCAACCCACCTCCACTCAAGCTCCTCCTTTTCAAACTATTTCTGATCTAACCAACCAGTGTCTAATCTTTTGTCACTGACAGGATAAGACATGAGGATGTCTCACTGCTGCTCTTCCTGCCTCAGTCATTGTGCACATACCATATGCGTTAGGGGCAGGGACTTCCAATAACGTGTGTAAAAGTTGGGCCCCGAGAAAGGACTCATACTGACTCATACAGTTCAAATCACAAGTTTTTAAACCCTTTCTATTCTTTTACATACAACTCTACTCTTTTGGCCTGGTAAGCATTTTGCCATCTTACCATCAGACTGAGAACAAAGAGTCCTGTATGCTAAAAAATACTGCTTAACCCTTTAATTACCTGATTAATATTTCGTGTGGATGGATATTTCATCACTTAAATGTATTTTTTATTTTATTTTTAATCAAGGATGGCACAGCGGGGCCGTTTTAAGTACTGTCACCTCACAGCAGGAAGGTCCTGAATTCAAATCCACAATCCAGCTGATGCCTTTCTGTGTAGAGTTGGCATGTTCTCTCCCTCTGTGTGAATTCTCTCCAGGTAATCTGGCTTCCTCCCACAGACCAAAGGCATGCATGTTACAGTAGGTTAACTGGTGATTCTAAATTGGCCATAGGTGTGAATGTGAGTGTGAATGGTTGTCTGTCTCTATGTGTTAGCCCTGTGATAGACCGAGATAGACTCCCAGCTGCCACAGGGTGCTACCCTGACAAGTGGAAGAAAATGAACGGATGCATTCTTCCTCTAACTGTCATGTTTTTGAGGAGTATGATGGCTTTATATTGTTAGGAAAACATATGACTCTTTTCACAGAATAATTAAGCAAAGTATAAAAAAAAACAAAATATTGTGGATGTTTTTCAAAGAAAAACGTAAATGTGTGCTGTACCCATCTTAAAACAGTTCTGGATGATACATGACCAAAGATGGTGATTTTCATTAATGGACCTTTTCCTAGCGTAGTCCATGGGAAATAGTTCTTTACCTTTCACAATTTTTTCCTTCCCAGGTTGAATTTCTTCTATCTTTTCAAAACAGCCTCTTGCCTAAAAAAGGAAAAATGTTCTGCATCACTTTCTATATAATGTGTTTCAATCATGTACTAAAGACTCCAGAAGATTCTAGACTCAGCAGAGCTGGTATACAGTTTGCAAAAAGCTACGGTGCACTTTAATGTGATTCATACAATAAATCTTGCTTTACTGGTTATCTGTGTTAGATATAATCCTATTTTGGAATAAATAAATTGAAATAATTTGAAATTAGATTTACAGATTATTACTGTGAGTCCACATTATCTTAATCAGAAACATATTTATAATTTCTTGAGAATTCTTATTATCTTTCTACTTCAGGCGTACAACTGTAATGAGAGGTATTCTTACTCACCTCGTTATATTTCTTCAATCCCAGATATGCTTTACCCATGTGTAGATAAGCCTTTATGCACCTCTCATTACACTGGCAGAAATGAAATAATCATGGGATTACTTAATAAACCTCTTCATCTACATAATGGTCGTTTAATGACTCCAGCACACTTGCACAGTAAGAAATAAATATTCAACCTGACTTTCAGACACACTGCACTGGAGAAAATTGCATGAACAGTTTACAGAGCACATCTCCCACCCAAAAATTGTGTCTTTGACATTCTGGAGAAGCATAAAGAAAACATTATTCTGAGGATATTACCAAATTAAACCAGTTTTTCAAACATCCCAGTTTCTTTAGAGAATATTTCTAAACTGCTGGTGAGCTCACTAGACTTCAGTATAACACATGCGGCAGACCTTACCTTTAGGGCCCATTCACAGTCACTGACGGCCTCATTGTACTTTCCCAGTTTAATATAGGCCTACACAGATGTAAACATTAGACAGGACATTTTGAAAGGGAACATAATGATTTTACAATTTCACTGCAGATGGTAACAAAGATTCTAAATTTAAAATCTCTAAAGTTCTGTTTCACAGATGCCTAATGCACTCTGTGTCCACATAAACACACAAAAGCATCTCTGCTCTGTTTCCCCTTGAGAAAAAAGGGAAGTCTGTGTTTTCATTGTAAAGCATAGATTGAAGATATTTACTTGAGCTCTGTTTGTGTACAGCGGCTGCATATCTTTGATTTCAGCCAAACCATCGCTGTAATACTTTACAGCAGTTTCATAGTCTTCTTGAGCATAAGCTTCATTCCCTTTGTCCTTGAACGCTGCAGGGATGGATACAAGCAGTTACATTTAAAAAGGAAACACTGTCAGCTCAGCAGAGCAATGACTATAGAGAAATGCTCATCTACAACAGGTGAACCCTCTGAAGTCTGATTCATCACAGGTGATAACCCTAATCCTGTATTTTGGAGAAATGCAAACTGCAAAGACACACAAACAATAAAAATACATATATTTTGATTGCTTGGAGTTCGAATTAGACCTCTGAGGGTTTGGTAGCTAAGTTTCACAAACCGATAGCCTTTTTCACATTTGCAGCTTTCCGAACTCTCCTTTCTTCTGCATCCATCTCCATAATCTTCATGAAATTCTCTGATCAAAACAGAAATTTAAAAAATAATCTTAAGCATGAGTACTACAAAGGAGGAAATAGTCCAAAAAAATGCCATTTTTAATGAGCACAGTATGAAGAGAGTTTGCACACCATTTAAATAAACAAAATCAAACCAACGCTGTCTGAGAAGCTCTGTTATTTTTAAACTGCAGTCGTTTTAGAAAGTCTTTATTAGTAACTACACAGATCCAGACAGTGTGCAGAGTGTGTGTTTATAATGCAAAGAGGGTTCACACAAAGCTAGATATTCTCTATAAATAAGAGCCAGAGAAATTTAAAATCTGTTTTGCTTTCTCAGCCCGGAGCACAAGATTATTTTTCTTACTCATCATGAATTCAGTGTATGGTGTGTTAATTTCAATATTAGAAGATTCACACACAGAGGTGTGAGTTTTTTTACACATTTGAAGCTTAACTGTTAATGAGTTTTACCCCCGGGCGACTTGAAAAGAAGTGCCGGCTGAAAAGCTGTTTTAAATGGAATATCACATTCAGGGTGCTGGGTTCAGTGGGATGTCATCACAGCGCTTCTCAGTATATAAAAATACTGTACACTAGCCTAGAGATTACTCCTATTTGCATATGTTTAAGCAGTAAAACTGATGATGTAATGCAAGTCCTTGGTGAGCTAAACAGTTAACAAGGCTCCTTGACTAAAGGGCCTCTAGACAAATCAACTGAAAGAACATCACTGATTTCGAGTCATTCATATCCTCTAATGCATGGTAGTTCATGGGAGGAATAAATCACTTATGTTCTTTATTAATTTATCTTTGAAAAATGGATACTAGTTCTTGCTTCTTTGGTTGAAATATTTCATTATTGGGCACAGTATCAGTGTGCTTTCAATCACTGCAACTGACAACCACAGAGACATTTATTTTCATTGTGGCTCACCTGGAGTTTCAGTCTGAGGAGTCTGTAAAAGAAGAAAAAAACAATTTAAAAAACAATAACAGTAGCAAAGAGGTCAAAACCTACTCACTGCTTAATGTACACCGTGTTCTTTTTCTTAAAGAACAAGAGAGAACAAGGTGGATAACACAACAAGAAGCTGTTTGTAGTGTCTGTAGTGTTCCTGCCTGAGGGTCAGAGAGTGGATGAGAGACAGATAAAGATACAAGGAGTTGTAGACTAAGACACATGCTGTTGACTGCATGCATGTATTTACTATGGAAGGAGGGAGTGGCAGTGGGTTTGTGTTGACTGTCATCTTGTTGATTTTGGTTCTGCAGGGCTCTGCCAAGGAAGTGATGTAGCAATCAGCTTTTTCCATTGCTTTTTGTTGGGCTTCAGCATCACAAGACCTTAGGTCCTCCACAAGCTGACCTGAAAAGAATTCAAAGAAATAGAGAGATCTTTTCCAAGAGGCTTTACTTTGGCATTTGAAATAGGGCTAAAAGTAAAGAAATAGCTCAACAATCTACACCTTCAAACCAACAAAGTTCCCAGTAGCACAGAAGTATACACTACATTTGCGTTTTGAGCTCAATATTTATTGAACACAATAGTTTTCTAGCGTTTACAGCTAATTAACTTAGCAAAATGGGTACAAGAGAATAACTTTGTGTTAGCTAATATCGTTAGTAAACTATACTTCTACCATTACTCACTTATTTCATCAACATTCTTCAGAAAACTTTCGATGTCTTCAAGTTTCTCCATTGCGTGTTTGTCCGTTTTAGACAGCTTTTGCTGGATTCTAAGACACGTGGCTCCGTTTTATCTCAGCTAGACGCTGAATGTACTTCTCCCTCAGGTTTCAGCGTTGAGTTACCATAGCAACGTGATGCCTTCAGGCCCGCCCGTAAACTACACAAGTAAGCTATGTCATAAGAATGCCAAGAAGAAGCCGGAACAAACAGCGAAAGTAAATAACTAGGGCTTTTTAACTACACTACTTTTAGCTAACTACTCTGGGTTATAAATGCGGGACAAATTTTAAAGAAAAAAAAAGGGTAATTCTTAACTAAATCAAAACTGAATCAAAATAGCACTGAGACGTGTCTGATTCATTGTGAATGTAAGTTAGTTCCGTCATGGTTATGAATGCGATATTTAACATATTTTTTATCACTGAAATAAGTGCATTGTGTTACATAATTATGTTTATGTTTCTTTAATCGCCGATTAGAGAAAGTATCTGAAGGCAGCACTCACTACCATAGAAATTAGTAGTCTTTTTAATTAATTAATTATTATTATTATTATTCCAATGACAAGAAAAATAAAATATTTATTCTTATTATACCAGCAGCTGCTGTAGTACTACTAGTGATGAGTTCGTGCCATTACTCCTTTAAGGAGTAAATATTATGCTGTAAATTGCCCCTCATACATTACATATAACGACAGAGGGCTGTGAATTCTGCAGAGACCTTGTATATTATCGCAATAGGAAACCCCGTCGTCCATTTTTCTCTACAGTGGAGCTAAACTGCCTCCTTGTGGTTGAAAACACATCTATCCAAATATGTTGTCCGTCTAGCTGTCCATTTATAGTGCTGTGGGTCTTTTATTATTCCTTTGTATGTACTGCATTCTTTTCATCTTTAATTAACTACAGAATATTCAAAATAGTCTTAATGAAGAGACTAAATCCGTTCTTAAGTTTCATCCTTCAACCAGTGAAAATAGTCAGGAATAACAAAATGTTTAAAAAAAAAACAGTGCCCCACCTTCTTGAATTTTTTTTACATATATATGTCACACTTACATGTGTCAAAGACATTTTAGTATCAGACAAAGTTTAACCCAAATAATACGAAAGAACAGTTTTTAAATGAGGATTTTAAACAAGTCACAGTGAGAGCCAGAGCAGAACAGCATCTAAAAACTGCATTCCTGAATTTCCTCACTTGAGTTGAGAGTTCAAAATTCAATAATAAGAAATAAATTGAATAAATTAGCATGTATGGGATAGTTCCGATAAGAAAACCACTGCTGACCGGAAAGAGTCAAAGGCTCATCTCACATTTGACAAAAAAACATCTTGATGAGGTTTGGACATGTTTTCCCCCATAAGAAATGAAATCATCATTTTAAAAAAAACTGCATTTTTTTTTATTTCCTAGGGTTATCTTTGTTTAATATTAACATTTGTTTGGTGATCTGAAACATGCACGAGAGACAAAAATGCAAAACAATAAGAAATCAGGAAGGTAGGCTTTGTACCAAGCTGCTTGTGCAAAATAGGAATTCTTACTGTCTATTACAAGAAGACTCCACATGAAGTATGGTACTACAGGAAAGCTTGCTGCCTCCCTCCTCACAGGCTGTCTGTGTTCACAGCTTGACATTTAATACAGATCCAAATCATCACACACAGTGAGGCTCATTGTCCACATCTGCACAAAGAAAACGAAGATAGAGTTGCAATTATATCACTTACGGTCTCGAATTGAATTAGATTTTTTTGGTATAATGTTCTGTGTAATATCCTACACAAGTCTTAAACTAGGAAGCTGAAAATATTTCCAGAAAAGAGGCTTCAAAGGTTAAGAGCACAGCGAGACACAGAAACCAATCACATAAAATTAATTTGATCAAACAAAAGCAATTTTAAGAAATTATAGTTGTTTTCAGACTAAAGTTGTCGTGTCTAATCTGGTGTCCAGCTACTGCTTATGAATTTCCGTGTCAGAATATTTTCTATAGTTTGTGAACTTCCATGGTAGAGTGTATGCACTGGAGCAGGACAGAATGCATATTGTGTGAGTTACAGACAGGGGCTTGTGTATGGCCGGATCTAGCTCCTACAGTTCCGTGCCTCAGTGGACAACAGATACTGACAGCACAGAGCAGTCATTCATTAAATACGCTCCACTTTATCTTTCCTTGTGCACTAACTCTCCACAAGATTCCACGTCTTCTTCTTCTTGATCTGTAAAGATCTATTACATGCATACATATTGTTCGTGCTTCAAAATGAAGCTTTAATCCATCTATTTGATCTTGTTTGTTTATAAATATTCAGGCACATCTTCCACTTATCCTGTAGTTTTGAATTGATGCAGAATAACAGAATTCAATTGCACTACAAACTCCAGGAGGGATTGCTATAGCAGTATTGCATTCATGGATTGATCTAAAACCAGACCACAGGTGGGCCACAAGCTAGTGTACTCTGAGTGCAAGAAAAATAGAGAACGTTGGGTCAGGAAGGGCATCCAGCTTAAAAATCTTGGCCAGATCAAACGTGTGACTCATAAAGAATGAGATTTCCATACTAGGCTTGTGGGGGTTCAGGTTAACAACAACCACTTCTAGTGCTGTTGGCCAACAGTTAAAGTGCAAATGTGATGGATAAGAAATCTGATTCCTTACGGAGGTATTTAATTCTGTTTCTTATAACATAACAGAATTTCATTGTTTTTTGACTGTGTTGCTGTAGGGAATATGCAGTGAGAATGTAAAGAGCAGAAATGGGTGTTGCCTGGGTTCATTGTGCTTTGATCCACTGGTTGAGTCTTACATGAGTTAATAAAATACATTTACTTCATGTTATGGTTCATACGGTTAATATATTCCTCAGTTAGAAAAGAAAAGAAGGATAATTTAGTTTGGGAATGGTGTCCTAAGGCCGAGTTTATCTATGTAGAGAAAATGTGATTTGGTTTTGTGAGCTAAAGGCGAGAGTAGCGTGTCAATCTCTTCTATTTACCCTGTTTAAAGGCAGAACAAACGGTGGCTACAACTACTGCTGGCCAAAGACAAAGAAAGAGGAAAGAAAGAAGGCACACTGAAAAGGAGCAGGAGAGAAGAAAAAGCCAGAGTGTGGATATGACAGTCATGGGTCTGATAAAGGGGGATATCTGGGGGATATCTAGGAAAAGGGTGAAATCACTTTGTTGACCCTAAAAGGAACAACGGAAAGAAGAAGAAGATATGAGGTGTGACGGAAAGGTTTTGTGACGATGCCTATGAAAACAAAAACAAAATTGATTTGACCATCTGCTCATGTCCAACTAAAATGTTATTATTGAGCACAAATTTTATCATGGACCCCTAGTGACCTAAGCTCGGCTTCCCTGTCTGATAGATAATGACCACCACTAGTGAGCATGACCAGAATTATGCTTGTTTTATCAGTATGCACAGATTTGTAAACTTTGACAGATTCAAAGTGTGCCATTGGCCACTGTACTCTCCAAAACCTCGTGGTCTTAACCAAAATCAATGTTGCTTGTGTTTCCTCTTTTACTTTGATAGTCTTGTGTCATGTGTTCAGTGTTTTGAGTTTTGCTTTCCCTCTGTCTCATTATATCTGATAAGTCCCAGCTGTGTTTCCACCTGTGACACCCAGTTCCCTTCTACTGTTCGTGTTTTTTTCCAGTGTTTCAGCTCTCACATTCTGGTTTAGTGTATTTTTTCGTGAGTTTATTTTCTAAACATCTGCACAGTGCAATAGAGCTTCTCTAAGTTCACCCTTCTGTGTCCGTGACTCCTGCGTTTTGGTCCTCATCCTGCCCTCCACAGCATCAAACCGTGATAGTAATTGCATCTTGTAATCATGCTCAGCACAGTTACAACGATTTGGTACAAATTTAACTTTTGAACGTGCCATCTCATAAAAAAGCTACTTCAAAGAAGGAGGCAGATTTAATTATCTACCAAAACTTATTTTTCCTTAATCCTGTTAATTATACAATGAGTTAAGTCTCAGAAGTAAAAACAAACAAAAAAAAAAAATTTCTGTTGCAATGTTCTGATTAGATAGAAAACCAAAAGTAAAACAATTTAACCAATGACACATTGTGTTGGGTTTCATAAATCAATGTGAGCTACAGAATAAAATTGTTGTAATTAATTAATTACATTTACACAATGTAATTAATTAATTACTCAACCAGGGATGAGGCTCTTTACAGTGGGAAGTTTCTTGGCTTCATTTGAGTCTTTCTTGATTTTCAGTCCTATAGAAGTGCATGGAGCGGGTTTTCCCCTTCTCTGTTCCACACATACATGCAGCTGTTAGCTATTAAACTCCAAAACCACACCCCTGAAGTATAAAAGGTTTTGGGTCACAACACCCACCACCCACTGGATCCAGACACTGACCAATAAACCATAAAGTACAAGAGATTGACACAATGGAAGAAGGCGCGACCCACGCTGTTGCTCCATCCTATCTTGGTTGGTCCATCTTTAACACTTTATGCTGCTGTCTGCCACTTGGGATTCCTGCTATTATCTTTTCCTGCAAGGTAGGAAACATTCCCTGAGAATCAAGATTTTTTTTCTCCTGCTCAAACTTTTGCTCTTCTGTACCTGCTTTCAGAGACACACTGAAAGATCAGAGCAACAATCATCCAAAGCCTTTCAGTTTTTTTGGAACATCATTGCTGTTTTGTTTTTTTTTAATAACCAGATAAATCACTTAAAAGTAAAATTTAAAGTAATATATTTGAATTTTTATTTTTAGGTTTTCTCCAAGGCAAGGCAAGTTTATTTGTATAGCACAATTCAACAACAAGGTGATTCAAAGTGCTTTACAGAGACATTAGAAACAAAAACAAATAAAAAGCATGATTTGCAACTCCAGGCTGATTTGTAATGATTTGTGCTTATTATAAGGTAGCCAGTTAGATTTCATTGACGCATCATTTTTTCCATCACACATATACACATATTTTCTCTAAGCAAGTTAAATGTAAAAGAAAAAAATGATTTTTTTTTTTCTTAAAGGCACAAAATGCAAACACTCTGGGAGAATCAGCTATTGCTGAGGAAGCATCAAGGACGGCCAAGACCCTGAACATCATCGGAACAGTCTTTGGAATAATCATCATCATCGTCTGG